GTTTCCTGGAATTAAAGCTGCAAATTTCCAATGATCATATAAAGATGCTTATGTAGGTCATCAGTATAAAGTTTCATGTTTCATGAACAGTTATAAACTAATTTTAGCTGCTTTAATTTGTCAAGAAAACAAATCAAAAGTAAAATTACTAGAACTCCTCAGGTGTCGCTGACCCGGATGTTTTGCTCTTTAAGCAACAGTCAGTCAAAATGTTTTCCCTTTATATCAGCAGGGACCCTTTATTGTTAAAATGGCTGGGCGCATAATCTAAAGGTCACATATGTGTTGGTCTGCGTAGAAACATGAACTAAACATGTTAAATGTAAATGTGTTTTCCAAATATGGAGATATTACACAGGAAAATCAGAGGCTGCACACGAAGCAGAATCCATGCTAGCTGTCAGTAGATACAGCTGCCAGCACAGCTGGGCGTCTGTAGAGGAAGTGCTCTCATAGCAAAAAGACGCTGTACATCCTCTCACCAAATCATCTGTCACCATTTCATTTTAGATGAATGGCCGGTGATTACACAATGACGGTTTTGTCAGGAGGTGGCTTCGAACCACCTAATTCTGGGTATATGACAAGACTGTTGATGTTGCCACATTCTTCTGAGAAAAAGAAGCGCTGATGAGACGTGTCACGTCAGAATTTGAAATCAATACAACTCTAAATAAGAAATGTTGTTCTGGTTCTGTTCAGTTAAAGTCAATATTAGATATTGAGATTAAAAAAAAAATGTGTTTATTAGGGCTTGTTGACCATACAGTCCTAAATTGAGGAGCTAACTCAGTGATTGAAAGTCATCGTGGCATAATTGCCTTCTTAACCTCTCAAAAACTGTGAGGTGGGATCTTAGATGAGCAGACGTAAAAAGGGACTCACAAAAAAGGCCAGGCCCACCATCTGCAGAAATTGATTATTTATTTTGCTTTTAAAACAATCTGCAAGTTAATTTCATAATTAAAGTTTAAGACTTCTTGAAAAGTAACCAATATAACCTACACATCAATTACAGCGAAGTAAATTCCCCGTACAGACAGTGTTTGCTTCTCAATACTTGCTGTACACAAGTAGGAGCAGCCTGTGGACTTGTGTTTGACCAGCCAGTGACCTTTAGTACTCCAAACTCTACCCGTTAGCTCCTGAACCATCATAAAATATTACCTTGGGAGCAGCAACAACCAAAAGGTTCCTGCGGTCAAAATTCATTTCCAGGGTTCATGGAAAGGTTCCTGCTAAAAAGGGAAATGTTTTTACTCTGTATTCTCAATTGATATCACAGAATTGTAAATTAGTCACAATATCCCATTTATGACAGCTTTCACATTTGAGGTTCTAAGCACCTGGTTTATAGCAGTTTTTTTTTAATAGGAAAGAAGCCTCTGGCACCCAGGAAGCTATGTGTTTTATGTTTCCAGCTGCTGCAACAGCTTGGAATAAACAGAAGGACTGGGCAGTTATCATGTGCAGCGACAGTCACCATTGACAAAAAAGCACAATGTGCAGAAACTCAAACTTCAGCAGAACCTTAAAGAAGAAAGATGTGCCAGTACTGGCCAGAACATTTTTATAGACAATTGATCTAAGTGTAGTGCCAAAATTATACAACAAAGATTATGCAGCTCCCAAGTTGTTGCCAAAAAACAGAGATGGCAGATCAGCACCATACTTATACTTTACTGCACAGTGATAAAACGTGATGATAAAAAGCAAGAATTAAAGCCGGAAAGTAGCAACTATATATGATTTTAAATCCTTTCACTTAGTTTACACAAGATCTTGGGAACAATTATTTGGCAAAACAATTCTTACTCAAAATTGTCCACATGAGCTTTTTCTGAATCTTTCAACTGTATCAGACATGGCTCATTTAATCCAAAGCACCTTTAGGACTTGACAATGAAGAAGTCTTACTTTTAAATGCAGATTAAAAAAATGTCTATACAAACAACACAAACATACTATATATGAAATATTTACTGCCACCAAGCTTGCATGCCAACAGATCCATCTCCTGGCCAACCGAGCAAACTCCACCTCTGCTGTAGAAGACCATGTAAAATAATTGAAAGCTCTGGGAAAAGCTGACTTTGCGTTGGGACTGTTTAATTTTTTTGTTGTTAGACATTTTTTTATACATAGACCAGTTCTTGGGATAATTAAAGAATAAGTGAGTTTTTGTTCCAAAAGAAATAAAGATTAATAATAATTAATAATAGATCTAAAGAACCTCTTTTTGACTATAATCAAATAGTAAAACGGCAGGATGTGACTGTATACTACAACTGGGTTTTGGAAATTGTTCATGGTTTACTGCTCTAATATGCACTGGCAAAAATCAGGGAAACATACTGAAGAAGTCGGCAGTAATTCTAGAAAAGAACATTAAACAATCTTATCCAGGCTTTGTACCATTAATGAATTACTAGCACAGAGTTTTGTGAGCATCGCAGCAACTGAGCTTAGAAATGTTTAAGACTTTTGATAATAGCTTAATTCTTAAAAGGGGATAAAAAATCTGATCCTTTAAAAACTTTACAGCCACTGTACAGTTCAATTTAGATTTATGGTTACTGGCCTACATGCTGTACCTGCACAGTTTATAGTCGAAAGTTATGAGGCATGTGTTTGGAAATATGAGGTTTGTGAAATAAAAAATGTTTTATACAACTACAAATCTCTACTTTCTCTCTATAACATGTAGGTCAAATATAAAGTTATCGTCTTTTCTGAAAGTGTAGAAGCGAACACTCAATATACTGTTTTCCAGCTTGTAGTTTCATAGTAGATATTTGTGGTTGAGTTCTTTGCCCAGGGGAATCTCAGTATTTTCAGAAGGAAAGGATTTTTGCCCCTTTACTTCAAACACGCAGTTTCTCTGAGCTGGGCTTCATATAAGCTTACAACCTTACATTCACCATAGAACTTCTCTAACCTCTAGGCAAGTGCTGCCCCTTTTTATGAACCCACTTTGCCATTTATTAACTGACTCACTGACTGCATGTCTTGCAGAAAGAAATGTAGTATGGTCTGTTTGAGCTGTAGGAGTTTTTATACTCCTCCAGAACCACCAGAAATCCGTAGTGAAATGCTTTTTCTCGCCCTATGCAAAACATTCTCAGCACATCCTTTTTAAACCTCAAGTGTTTCATTTTCATGCACATCATAAATGTGCTGACTACAAAGGAAGTTGATGTTTCCTTGATTCCCCCAAATAATAGCAAACCAGTGAGAATTTTGGAAAACGATTCATACAGACCCCATGGTGGAACATACCATGAATACTATACGAGATACTAATTTAGCCATGTATGACATTCAAAGTCATCTCTCTGTTCCTTTTGTTGTAAGGAACCGCTCCATCTGAGAGACTGGCACAGCATTTTTCTGCATTTGTAAGGGAAGAACAGGGACCAAACGGAAGCGCTACCCTAGGGGGAAGTGTGTCGCCTGTGGTTTTGGACGTGCTTTGAACTTGAAGGAGTCCTTTATCAGTGTTACAGTGCTGCCGGGGATGTATGAGTATAAGAAGTGCCATGATAACTCTGCCAAATAAGACAGTGCTGCAGCAGGGTGCTTGGGCAGCAAACACACAGCAGATGCTCCAGTGTTCTCCAGATATCTCAGAGACGAACTGTAGTACTCCAACCAAATTGATCTGTACATAGAAATACCGCTGAGCGTGCTTAAAGAGATCTGCCCCACAGGAGGTCAGGGATGTGTCAGCTGAAGCATATGTGAGAGAGAGACAGGGGGGAGGGGGGAGCAGTTTATCTGCTGACTTCAAGTTCCCCTCCAGTGACCTCACTGACAATTTGAATAATTTCAAACAAGCCTCTCTAGAAAATCATTGGTTTACAGAGCAAACTTGGAGCACCAGTGCATCCCTGCTAGTGGAAACACTTCTACCAAAATCCAATTTCTCAGCTGCACAGGAGGGCTTCATTTTGACTGGAAATGGGCCATTGTGAAGAGACTACTTTTTCCTATGGAGACCCACCATGAATAAGGTTAGGCAAATCTCTGAAGCTGACAATGTTGTTTAGTCTGCAGCATACAGATTCAGAACTTCTGAAAACAACTCTCGGTGTCCATCATGAGCAAATTCCACTAAATCAACAATAAAAAACTTGACCTGTCTAGCTAACTTTTTGTGTATGCAAAACTAACTTAATCTTCTTGTAGTGATGCTTTTGTGGTTATTTTAAAAAACATAGTTTGTTATATGCCACTAAACATTTGCAGAAGACTTTAGGGTGCAAAATACATGACCGTACCCTTCCCTTGGTGATGACAATGCAGAAATAAAAAAACAAAAACAAATATAATTTCTAGAGGGAAAAAACTCCCTACTTTAGAGCACTTTCTTATGCTTACAAGGGCTGCAGCATTAAAAACAAAACAAACAAACAAGGGAGTTTCACCTGCAGGCACCTGCTGGATGCACAATTTAATAGAAAAATATTGAATAAAACTTGGAATGAAATAAAATGAATGAAACTTTATAGACTGGAATAAAATTCTGAGAATACTGAATAGAAATGTGACAATATTGCATAAAACTGAATATACTGACTTGACAATTTAGCCTTTATTTTTTTATTGACAATATCCCATATTATATAGATACATGCACTGTTATCCAAACTGAGAGTAATGTATCTTAGAGACAAAAGAAAGGAATGTTTCCCCTACTTTCTCAGAAATGGTTTCATTTTTTTTTTACATTTTACAATCTAAAAACTGTCCCCTTTAGAAGCCTGTTAAGTTTGTGTATTGCTTTGGCTTATACACACAGTTCCTATGACCTACATGGTATAGGCTAACACAATGAAGTAGTTATCTATTATTGACATAGAATTAGCATCTGGCCACCGATGGCAGCAATGAGCACGATACTGCCAAGCTCAGCCACAACTCCAGCACCATCTTGGATTTCCTCAGGTTGTGTTGAGTGTGTTTGTTACTTCACACACCACAGACATCTATCTATCTATATATACACACATATTTTAAAGAAAAGAGAATAGAAAAAGAGCCCCCACATTTACAAGCTACAATAAAAAAGTGATGATTACATATCAATGCATCAATAACCACAATGCAATAATATGATATACATTATTCTGATATGAGCTATAAAGATGGAGCTAAAAGTAATGCTTTAGTTGATTCTCTTTTCTTCAGAAATCCTACTATACTTATGTAGAATTATTAAGACAACAAAGACATCAAGTGGTCATGGCAAGTTATCATAGGAACTGTTGAGCAAGGCACTTAAGCTTTGGTAAACTGCTCAGCTGCACAGCACTTCTGATTGTACTGGACCGCTCCCTGGTGTAAATCTGTAAGACTGGCTGACTTTGAAGCAGGGTGATTGCAGAAAAACCACATGCATGCTCAGCAAAGTGGATAAATAACAGTGAACACATGAAAAACATTCCTTCTATACTTTGCATTTTATAGGTAAAAAAACAGGATATACTTGCCAAAGGGCTAAAAAGTTGCTGCCACAGGAAAATGATGAATGACTCTTCAAATGTCATTTCAACATTTTACAGGTTTCAAACACAGTTTGCAAAAATGGCATTTAAAGAAACTGTTCAGAATAATGTTGGTGTAAAGAAAATTGTCTATCATTCAGAGGAGGCTTTGATTTCTAAATTATCCATGAGGATAGCTGACAGCATTTTGTGCTATGTATTCCTGTTCTATCTGTCATCAGATTGTTTTTTGGTAGCATCAGCATAAGAATAAGATAAGCTAATGTGGCAGGAGTGTGACCTTATGCATTTCATAAATGGGATATACAGTATTATGTGCTTGAAAGATGTGACACACAGATACAAATAAATGGGTGGCCAATGTTTTAAAGGTACTGAATGAAAAGCCAAAATATGTAGGTTTAACATATTGATTAGTTCCAGTAGTTTCATTTTAAGAATGATCAACTCACATACTTGGCAAAATTGTTTTTTTTTATGCTCAAAGAAGGTCTGGTCTGCTCAGATGTAATTTGAGTATTTCAGACAGCACAGTGACCTTGAGGAGGTGTCAGCCCTCACACTGAGTGTGTTTCAGTGTGTGTTTGGCCATGGTCAGTTGCATGCATGTTGCCCTGTTCACAATATCTAAATTGCAAGAAGATGCACATTTTTGAAAAAGGTAAATGTGTGATAAAAGAGCATTATAAAGAAGTGCTGTAGTGCTGCAGAGATTCTCTGGTCTACAAATCATGTTCTCCAGATGCATGAGAACATGTTTGTTTGGTACCCCGCAAATGTTTTCTTTTTCACAGTGAAAATTTTAATTATGTTGCAAAAATGGTCATTCCTATTAATTGTGAATAATCTCACAATCGCAGTGTCAAAATAATTGCCATATAATTTTTTACCATTCCTCATTCATAGGTGTTTACCCCACACACTCTTGGGAACTATGCTGTACAACCACAGTTCTCTCTATTTGGGTACAAATCATCACGAACTTAAGGGAGTTAAAAGGTTTTCAGCTTTTCAATAATAGTGAGAAAGAGATAAAATATTTTAACTTAAATAGTCATAAATCATGTAATGTCTATAAACAGCATACTGTGAGTGGCCAAAGCTACCAGTCAGTTCAGGATGGTGGTTTCCTACCTGAAGGTCAGAAGCTGACCAGGGGTCCCACAGTCTGGGGGTTGGCAAGATGATTAACAGGAGAGGAAAGTATAAAAAATATTTTTGACATTCATCTAATCTTTTTTATTTCTTGTAAATTACTGGCTACTTCAGGGATCTGAAAATGAGTCAAGATAAGGGACTGGTTGTGACTAGTTTCAGTCCATCAGTATAACTTAGACTTGCTAGTTTTGAGTTTTAAACCTGTAACTTTTCCTGACACCTACATAATTTCATGATATTGGTGCTTTTTTATAAAATTACACTTTCTGTTCTGGTCTGTTTTTTTTCAGTTTGTCGAGAAATAAGCAAACATCTTTAAGTTGTTATGAGAGACTTTGTAGAAGATATGTGAGATAGCGCTGCAAAACAGATGCTTGAGGGAAGCGTCATTTGCTGTGGTGGTTGTTACTAAAATATTTTGTACACTCTCTTAGAGGGTTTGGGGCCCTTGTACAAAAGGCTAAAATATATTAACTTGTGCCATATGTTGTTCTGATTGTTGAAACTATGTGCTCTCTGTTTTGTCTTAAAAACATGAACTGTACTGTATACTGGAAAAATAGAGGAAACTCAGCCGTATTCAGAATTCCTGATTTCTCATGGGCTTTGTTTAATTACATCTGAGACAAGCTGACTGTAATTAGAAAGCTGTAAATTGAAGAGTTATCAGCAATAAGTCAGAATTAGTGTAAGCTGACGAATAGTCGTGTGAGTAGAGTATTCCTGAATTAAGGCCTTTTAGGGGAAGATCATGCATACTGTCAGAAAAATGTATGGCACGTTTAATTATGTATTCCTATTTTCCAGACTTATGACTTACCAAACATGTGTGACAGCTGATAGTAAATAACAGTATGTGCATTTATTCAAACCCAGCTAATCCCCAGTATGTTGCAGCCAGGTGATACATATACGTACACATAGTATCTGTATAGGGCTGTATGGATATTTTCTGTTGTTATGCTTGCCCAGTGCATTGAACGGCAAAAATCTGCTGAATTAGACGGATGGGAGGGTTAGAGGAGAGCAGCTGTGAGCTTGTCAAAACATGATGCATTGTGTACATACTGGGGAAATAGGTAGTCTTCATTTGAAAGTCAATGCCAAAGCTTAGACGTGCTCTGGGGAATTTAAAACCGTGAGCCAAAGTTATGATGGCACTCCCTTGGGGGGGGGGGGGGGGGGTCCAGGCAAAACTTCCAGACTGTTTCTGTCTCTTGTGCTTTAAAGGCAGATAAATAAGACTTGTAGTATTAATTCTAACACACACAAGGACTTGTATGTGCAAATGACATGCTCACAGTGAGTTGATGTCAGTTAAATTCAGGACCATCATGTACTAGAGGCGGCTGTGGTTCAGGAGGTAGAGCGGGCTGTCCACTAATCAGAAGGTTGGTGGTTCGATCTCCGGCTCCTCGTGCTGCTTATTGAAGTGTCCTTAAGCAAGATACTGAATGTGCGTGAATGTGTGAAGCTTTTGTGTGGTCAAAAGACTAAAAAAAGGTGTTATATAAGTACAGTCCATTTACTAAAAGCTGTCATAACAAGTCCTTACTTTTTCTAGTATGAATCTGTATTTTGCTTTTTCCTATAAAGAACATTTAAGTTGGTATGACGTGCACAGGAGGGATATTATTATTATTTTCATCTTAGGCTGTTAATGCCAAAATCTCATTGATATAAATACACATTCTTAATTGGCTTTTGTGTAACCTCACTTGTAGCCTCAGTTTTACTGTGGGTAAACTGTGTGAATAAATAAAAGTCCTGCCTGTATTATTGTTATAAAGGCAGGACTTAAAACAGTTTTAGAGAGCTACTGAGTCAAATTTATGATCATTTTTGAGGCTGTAGTCGGCGGGGCTGTTAAATTGTGCGTTATACTGAAAGATGCTTATAAAACTTAACCTACCCTCATTAAGAAACACTTCTCAGTAACACAGTACAATTCAACAGCACTACCAACTGGGATTTTGCTGTTAATAATATAATGTCAGTTTTGATTCTGTTCAACTTTTGCCTTAAGTTTTGCTTCCTTCACATTGATCTGTGTAGTTTGTCATTGTGCCAAAGCTCTATTAACAATGACGGTGCACAAGATGAAAAGAAAAATAGACTCACTGACAAGAAAATTAACTCACCAATGGCCAGATAAACTCAGAACTCAAAACTCTTTGTGCAGCCTGGTGTGGAACAGGAGCAATTTAAATATGCATTGTTCAATCCAAAGCAAAGACAGTTTTTGCTTTCTTAGGGACTCTTTAAAAAAATACAGAACAGCATAGTTGGCACTTTATAAACTGTTCAGAGCTCCGAGTAAGATTACTAATGATTCAGGAGAAGTACAACTTGAAAGTTATTTGTACGTGTTGCAGTTGTGACTGATCATAATGAGTTAAATGTCTGCGAGGAACTGTGCTGTATGACGCAGTTAAACTTCTTAAAACTGTGCATATGTCTCTGTCTGACACAGCATCCTGCAAAAGTTAGTCCATTAATAACCCATTTAACACTGGGACGCCGCAAAGAAGTTGATTGATTGTGCTAGCAGATATGGTAATCCACCTAGTGTGGCTAAAAGACTGTGTTAGCAGAGAAGTGGAGCAGCAGCAGCTGCAGGCAGGGTTCCTACCTGGATCTGGAGAGTTTAGGAATGCATAGAGAATGAATATGATCACATTAAAGAGGCAATAAGTAAGATTTTTAGTGTCCCATAGCGCAAAAGGACCATAATATGTCTGCAGGGGGTTTGGGAGGCTGTTGATCATTAGCAACTTAACAATTACTTTTCCAGGTTGAGAAATCTTTAGATTTTTCTCTTTCATACTTTGGAATAAAAACTCCCTGCACAGTGGATTATCAGTGCCCCCTACCTACTACACTGACAGAGACTGGAGTGAGGGACTGGCATGATGAGATATTTCATCTTCAAAAGCTAAAAAATAGGCCAAAAACCATAAAGGCTTAAAGGTCCACTTGGTTAACATTTAGGATGGATGTTTTCATTAGTGTATAATCACCTGAAAATAAGAATTGTTGAGTTTTAGTTTCCTTAGAATGAGTGCTTTTATCTTTTACAGAGTTTGTCTTGTTGAACCGCAGTGTTTCTACAGGAGCCCAGAATGGAAACTAAACATTAAATTTCTTTTACATGCTTGGAACAACAGGGTGAGCCGAGGGCTTTGTAATTAGCTGTTAGATGTTAGATGCCACTAAATCATACACACTGGTCCTTTAAAGCAGCAGCATTATGCTAGTATGTTGCATTTACGTAACATACCGCTTGAATATCTGCTCTAATTCGATGATTTGTTTTATTTAGTTCTTTTGATTTAAACGTGTTTGGAAACTCAATTGGACAAGTTGGATGGGTTGGTAGGTGGGCTGATGGTGGGTGTGATTTGTGCAGGAAGAGATTCTATCAAAGTTGTCTCAGAGTTTGACGAAGAACATAGATTTTTAAATGCCAGTGTTTCTAAAGGTTAAATAAAAAGTCAGAGAAATGGAGTGTTGAATCTGGCAGACAATTGTATACGTACCCCAGCTGTTGATATTTGTTCTTCTAATTGAAAGTTGAATCAGTGTGATTCACATACGGTGCAGAGACAAAGTTCTTTATATCAGTTCAAAAAGAAAATTGACTTAAAATGAAGAGATCAAAAGCAGAAAGTGAAAATCTGCAGGTGTCAGGCAGCTCAGCAAGGCCTTAAAAGTCACATAAAGTCACAAAAATAAAGTTTTAATGTTCCCTCTTCGTCCGGGATATCACAGTGACATGCCGCTCTGCTGGCACGACCTCCTGACCTCCAGTGAATAGCATGTGGGCCCACAGAGCTGCCACAACAGTGCCTTTGTTGTCTGACTCAGTGTCACTCCCGAAGAACAAGGAAGCAGGGTCACCATCCTGCTGTCAGTCATCTCCCTCCGCTGGAGGATGATGAGCAGGCACTGGTGGCTTGAAACGGCTTAGAAAGTACAGCTCAGTGTTTGCCTGTGAAAATCAACAAGTCAAGTCGAGTCAAATTTATTTATAAAGCGCTTCTAACAAAGGGGATTTTTGCGACATGCTGCACAAAGAACTGAGGGCATAAATACAGATAAAGACGGGGGATAAAAATAAGAAGCTAGCACATTGCAGATTTCAACATAAAGCTTGTGTGCGTGCATGTGTTTTTGTATTTCTCTGTGTGTTAAACTTTGGCAATATGAGAGCACTGGCTCACATGTATCATCTTCTCTTTGTATTTCCTGTTTTTACTTCCTTGAACATTGCTGTTTCTGGTACACAGACATTTTTTCGCAGGGCATGTTTTTCCCCACAAACGCTGTTTTGTTTAATTCATGTCATGCAAAGGTCAAACTCGTTTTTATACAGCGCAATGAATTATTGAAAATGCTGTTATATTGGAGGTGAGAAGTGAATGGTCTCACTCCGTTAAATAAATATATTTGGGCTTCTCTGTGAGGGTGTGAGGAAACTGTTTAAAATGTAATCTCTCCGCTACATCAGAGTTGCTTGACTTAGACACTCAGCCTAATTAATCCAAAGCCCTCACTTTAATTGCCTTAATATATTGGCTCTTTGTCTTCTTTATCTTGATTTTCTCATGACGTCTATTTCCCCTTAATTGATTCAAAAGATCTAATCTCTTCGCCGAGTGTTAGGCATGTATTGATAGCTTTAGTTTAAACCAGCGACAGTTTTGCGGTTCTCATTGTCTACACTAATTATGGCGGACTTGATGTATTGTCTTGGCCATCCCGGTATTGAACCTCCAGTGTGTTGGAGAAGAGCACTCACCATTCTTGTTTGGTTTTTGACAGGAAAAGACCAATGAAGACAGCCAGATGGTGGTCCGCGGCAATCTTATTGTTGGGGCTCGCTGCGCTTGGCGCCGACGGGAGACCCAACAAGGAGGGATTCAGGTCGCCGCCCTATCGACCAGTCGTGAGATTCCGACACAAGGTATTGATTGCAGTCTTTTTTCATTTGCTGTCTGTAAGAAGAGGGACTATGTGCTTTTGCCAAGTATGAAACTAATTACAGTGGCACTTTCTTCCTGAATCAGATGACTCTCCTGTGGTTGTTGTTTTTCTGCCTACTGAAAAAATATTTGATGAATCATTATCCCTCCCTCTGTGCCAGGGGACTGTCTTTTCAAAGACAGCATCAGACTAATACGAGGCACAGCTGAGCAAAGATGAGCTATGAATGAAGTGAGGATGTTCACATGTCATTTTAGCTAAACGTTTAAAGTAAAAGATGTAATTTAATGCTCACTGACCCAGCGATACAGAGCAGGCCCTCAAAAGCAAAATCTATCACTCTTGTTCCATCGCAAGGAATAAGTTTAAAATAACATTTTTCCCTCTAAACTAGTAGGATACTGGAGAGTTTTTTTTCTCTTATTTGTTTTCAAACCACCAGAGTAGCAGAGATGGATCAATTAGAGTCAGACTGGGAAAGAAATTGACTGTTTTGTCTGATGGGGACTTGTGGAAAGCAAAGTGTTTTATCAAGAGTCATTAGTTGGATTGTGGTCCTTCAGTACACGTTTCCCATTTTCAGTTCTGTGTTCACTAGAAACACTTCTCCTCCTCATCCTATCCAAGATAAAAATTAGTAGTGGCAATGAAGCAAAAACTGTTTACTACGAGGAAATCTGTCATCTTTAGACTAAATAGTGTGTTTAAGATTTATTTCAGTCAGCTTTAGTCATGTCTGCGATGGAAATAAAGGCAAACACAGTGGGACTAAAGGGTGGCTGGGGTGAGAGGTGGTTAGAAAGAGAAGGAGATGGAGAGGGAGACAGAGGGAACAGATGGTAGGAACGTCATTGGACTGTATGAGAGTTGAGCGAGGAGCCGGGAGCGATGCAAAGCTGTTCAATCGACACAATGGTCAAACAAATTTTGACCTTTTGAACAAGAATTATTCACAGAGTTACTTTCTAAACACGTGGACTGCAGATATCAGCCATTCAAGAGCTTCTTTCTAGCCACAGCTACCCTGGAAATCGTGTGTGTGTTAAGGAAGTAAAGAGATTTAAACTTCAATAGCTAAAAATCCTGCAATATGATCTCAGTAAACTGCAGAGATAGCACTTATTCCAGGCTGCGATGCTTTATACCAAAAGGAAGAGAGAGCCAAAAGATCCAACGTCCAGCCCTGCCTAGACAGTGTTGGAATTCATTCTTAAAGGACTAGATCACTGTTTTTTTTAACACTATCTCTATGTACAGTGTAGCATTGCACCATTGTTTTGTCAGTACAGCAGCTCCAGGTCGTACATATCCTCGGCTAAGCAGAAGCAAAAAAAAAAAAAAAGTGTTTCAGATTTCAGTTTCTCACCGTTTCATCCTGTAAAGAGAATGCTTTGAAATCTGGAGAACAAACTGTATCTCTCCTTAGTCTGTGTTTCCCTGTTAGGTGTGAGATATCAGGGATACATATATTGTTTCTATATCAACAAGTGTAACTTATGTAGGCAGAGAAGTGTCCTGGTACCAGGATTTTATTCGAAAGTTTGGTAAATCTGCTGTTAGGAAGAATGGAGTACCCTGATAAAACAACAAACGTTTACATGTTTGCTTTGGTTAGAAATTTGAAAGACAATTAAAAAGTGAAGCTTGTTGAAATCATTCATTGCTGAGCTAGAAGGTTAGTACCTAACAACATGGTCACTGATATAAAACACCTCAGTTTGTACTGGACTCCAGCAGCTTCCACTGGAAAGTTTATTTTTAATGATTTGGTGTGCCTCTTTAATTGGGATATATAAAACTAAAGCATCATTCATTGCATTATATTAGCAGCTAAAAACAAGTTGGCATTTAAATTCTTAAAGCTTATTGTTAAAACTAGCAGCTTAAGAATTTCAGAAGTAGTTTTCCTTGTGTTGACTTAGCATTGCAATTTTGTCTTTTTTTTTTACTTGAAACCTTTCCTGTTGCACTTTAATATTTTTTCCCTCCCAACACAATCCTAGGTATCCCTGTTTTTACATTATTCTGTTGTACTGCACTCAGAGTGTACGATGTGCTTTTTATTGTAATGCCATGTCATTTGAATAAAGCAGGCACACCTTCTTAAATCAGCTCTGAAGGTGGTGTAAATAGGGCTTTTCCTCCTTTTGTATTGAACAGTGTGTTCATTCTTGTAGTGTATTATTCTGTCTTCTAGCTGGTTTGGACTTTCTCTCTCTTTATTGCCCTGGTTTGGAACCAGAGTGACTTTAATAATTAAAGTAATGTATGTCCACATGTAGCGGGAATTTGACAAGAAGCTACAAAAATGATGCATGTGCTTTTCCACTCCAATGAAATTAATGTGCCAGGCGCTGTGATTACACTGCAGAGGAATGTCATTACAGCATCTGCATACCATTACAATTCATCCTGTGAGAGGACAGAGGTAAACTCCACTCATCTATCTGCCTGTCAAAAGATGCTGTGGAAATTTACAGCCCTTTGGTGAAAAATGGCCACATTGCAAGCCCTTCTCCAAAATATGTCAACGGCCTTTTTGTTGCTTAGAGAATTTTCTCTGCTGTTGGTTAGATTGCAGAGACACTCAGGTCATCCACTTGTCAATACAGTTGAGTGAGCAGCGTTAAAGAACAGTTGTTTCAAAATGAGATATCCACAGATTGTGGAAAAGCAATACCAAGTTTCAGAACATGGTTGACAGCTCAAATTGTTCATTTTGTTGGCACTTTTAATGGATAGATGGTAGTCAAAGTCTCTAGTTACAAAATTACAGCAATTAAAGTTCAAATAATTTTTTTAATTAAATTCACGTTCATAATTAAAGGGACATGATAGTACAAAAACAATGATTTTTTTCTAAATTACATAATTGCATTCATTTCCTTATTTGCACATTCAGAGAAATGTACTGAACCTCCTTTGAGCTCACCACCACAAGCCCTGTTAATGCTATGCCTTTTTCTTTGCTTTCAAGGACAGTGTTTGACAAGGGTAACGGGATCGGATACGACCTTATAAGCTTTCCTCACAAAGACTTCAATCACCAGGAGGCACTCGGCCATAAACAGCTAGTCACATGCTCTACCCATAATTCCCTTGGTATTGTTTCAGAAATTCACTGTGAAATCCTCCACATGGGGTCAGGTATAGGACACATATCCTAGCCCCCAGAATCCAGCCATAATTATAATTGATTGTAATGTGAGGGATACCACTCAAAGTGATAGCTAACTGTTGTCAAGCTTATATTATAGATTTTATTTTAAACGGTCTTATTTCACCAAAGGTTTTTCACTTTGAGTTTCACTGTAAGAGTGATGGAGAAACTCAATGTGTAATTTGATAAATTTGTGGAAAAGTGGCCAGGCTTGCTCGACACAAGGGACAAAAGCAATTTCTGAGAGTTTGTCGCTCTGACATCAAGCTGTTATGTCAGGACAAACAAAATGGAGGCAAGGACAACTGTGTGCAAAGCCCCATCCATCCAGCACTGGCTTGGCCACATGGCAAATCTAGATTAACAGGGGATAAGCAGAGAGGGAGAGAGAGACAGAGAGAGAACGGGTGGGGGTGGGCAAATGAGATTGAGATAAAGAGACAGGGAATGGGAGAAATAACAAGAATAAATCGTAGAAATTCACAAGTAACAGATCTGATCTACAGTAGCCTCAGTTAAAGCTTCAATCGGCAGTGTTTGGCTTAATGTGAATACTGTCAGTATTATTTCCACCCTCCTCCTCCTCAGCCGGTCAGTTTTAGCCCCAACCCTTGTCACTCATCTTGATGAGCTGTCTACTTTCAAATGGCAGCCAGCCTGAGGCTGAGGTAACCAGCTTCTGTGAAGTCTCCACAGGGGCTGAAGAAGCAGATGCTGTATGGACCCAATCTGCTATAACAATAACAAGATGTCAGTGTCCATGCTGGTGTTAACCTGGGTTAGTCTGTTCTGCTGCATGCTTATCTTTGCTATTATTTGGCTTGTTACTTATTTTAGTGTCTAATATATGTAGGTTGGTATGACTAAAGAAGGTAGACGGTTTGCAGGGACAACTCCAGTTGGGAACAGGTGCTGGACAAAAACAGCATACAAAGAAAAAGGAGTGGTTGTCAGGTTGATGCCAAAACACTGCACAGTAATACTATGAGGATGGATTTCACAGGTCTAGAAATTATGGGTGCAACAGATCAGAAAACTTTGTCTGGTTTGGCTCATATCGCGGTTTTGAGTCAAGGATCAGATCATTTTCCAGATCAGTTAAAAAAAAAAGTCCCGCCCTATATCCCATCAACGCTGAAAGCTGTCGTGTCACAGGCGTGCAGAACTGCTTATATGAACAGAGCTGTGTGTCGAGGGGGAAGGCTGCAGATATTTACGAAGTTGGAATAAACATTACAATCTCATAATCGGTTTCTATAATGACAAGCATGCCGTTTCCACACCAGTGAAAATACAATGACAGTCACAGCCTACGGGATTTCACTCAGTGGAGAAAGCTAAAAGAGAAGGCTTTTAAATCTGTCACTCTTTCAATCATTGCACTTCAGAGTAAAAAACAGCATGCATCTGTCTTGTCAACTGCAACTCTGCATCAAGAGTTTAGGGAATCATTTCTTTAAAAAAGTAATAGTGTCAGTAAAACTCTTTTTCACGTTATGATGGTTGAATTTAGTCCGCGGTTTACATAAGTGCCCAACTAAGGGGGGCAGTCTGTACGGATCACACATCAATTATGGATCTGATGCATCACTGAATAAGAATTTAACTTATTTTTAAATGATTGTGAATTAAACAGTAGGATTACAGTATTCACTTTACAAACTAGTCTACTATGTATATGCACTTCTGTGTCTTTGGTTTGTTGCCATATGAGCCTGCATTGGCCACAGCTAAAGTTAACATTTTTCCCCAGCCTTCTGCATCAGCACCTCTGCTGACCCAAAACAGTGGTCACTTTGAAGAGAATAGGGGAAGTTTATTGTAAATCAACCATCCGAACTAGGCCTAAAGGATAAATACAGCCTTGCTGATATTGCATTCTCTATTGTACTCACTTGTCATATAGCTATTTTAATTTGTCGTTACATCTTACAAGTTAAAGTGTACTTGAAAGTTTATGGTGTGGAGGAGTGAGGGATGTGAGATCTGAAATAGGAGAAGACAGAGGAAAAGGTGGAGGGTGGTATAGGTTGAGGAACGGGATTTGAGAGATAAAGCCAGAGAGAGAGAGAGAGAGAGAGAGAGAGAGAGACTGTGGCGCAGGGCTCCGCTCTGGTGGAGACATAGCAATGTATTATTAAACGTTGAACTGTACTGGTCTACAGGTCTACCAGGAGAGACAGACAAGGGGCAGACAGGCAGACAGGCAGTATAATGCAATGGGGGGTTCTCATCTGTTAGCAGCATTGGCAGGATTCATATATATTAGAAGTTTGCTGATATTATGGGCATTACTATATGTAAAAACATTGTTACAGTCGCTGCCAACAAACTGCCTCAGCAGAAAGTTACAATCAACAGAATTCAAACTAACTTGAAATGCCTCATACCACGCGGCCCAGGAATCCTCTCCCCACCAGATCCCTGGCCAAACAACGTCCCCCCCAACTCCTGCCATAGGGGTGTCACACGCGATTTCGAACACAAAGGTAGGAATCAACGATGCACGCCCACACCCCCCAATGTCAGCGTCCAGCATACGTATCGCCAGAGACGCCAAAAACACACGCACATCGTGCTGAACTGGCGTTGGCATCAACCAGCTCCTCTAATGTTTGAGCGCTGCAGCCCCAGTTTAAAAAATACACATCAATCGAAGCCCCTCTCCCCTGGACATACTCCCTGGAAGATCAGCCGAGCTGGTGGAAGTAATTTTCGTCGTTCATTCAGCGCAGCGTCAAATTAACACCTAACTTATGCCTACTCAACTGGAGCAAGTTGCCCAACAGATGATCTAGTTCACGAAAGTTCCAAAATGACTTTAAGCGGCTTCAACAACTGCCCGACATTGAGTAAGTACATATTCCCATGAACAACTACACCTCGCTGGTCTCTGTGCTGAAACAATCACATATTCATCCATCTTCTGTGTTGTTTCCATTTCCACTAATGTTCACGGTGCAC